ATGTTAATTTCCTTAATAATCAATAAAATTTACTTTCCAACAATTAAAAATCAAATTTCCAAATAATGTAGTTTTTCGAGGAGTCAAGCCCTCAACTATTAGAGCATCTTTCGAGAATCAACCAATTGCACTACGAGGTGGGAAAATTTCTATGCTATGTGTACATTCCTTATAATTTCTTATATTATGGTTGAAATATGTAGCTTGTTTAATTCTAAGAACGTATTCTTCCGACTTGTGGGCAACCATTTGACGGGAGAGCGAGGATAACTATGAACGAAGTCTTCCGACTCTTGGGCAACCATCTATCGAAAAAGCGAGGTAAAACTATGTTACGATTATTCATGTTTCACGTTAGTGTCATATTACGGATTATTATACTGAATGTCTATGTAGTATGTTTTTCTCACTGAGTAAGTAGAAATGCTCACCCCCTATTGTTTTCCACACCCAGATTGTTCGAGATGGCAATCGAGCGATGGTGAGAGTGGTCAAAATAAATTCGCTTTCGAGTTATGCTAATATTAAGTTATTTTCAAAGTATTAGACCTTTAACAAGTTTTTAATTGCATGGTTAAGACTTAGTAGAGTATGTTTACTTACGAATAAGTTATTACGTAAAGTGTGATGATTGAACATGCGATGAACTGTGCGATGCTAAGATGAAGAGTAAGTTTTAAAGTTTTCAACACTATTGCAAGTTTTAAGGTAGTAGCGCCCAAGAGCTTTTAATGATTTTTAAGAAAAGAAAATTTATTAGAGGGATTTAAAGTATTAGAAATGGGGTGTTACAGGGAGTTTGCCAAAAATTGGAGAAAAGTCACACGATTCGTGTGAGTCAGTGACACGAGTTGTGTGACGCGCAAACTTAACCAGCAAGGACTAGGATTCTGAGGCAATTTCTTCCCTTTTCGACTCATAATTGCCTTACAGTATAAACTTGAAGAACTCGGTTTTGGGACTTTTCACACTTTTTGAGGCCAAGAGAAAGCACTAAACACACGAGGAAGTGAAGATTGAATATGCAGGAACTAATTGCGATAATAGTTCTTCTTTCTTTTATCTTTTTCTTCTTCATTGAACTATGGATTTATTTATTTTGAGTTTTGGGAATATGTTTACTAGCTAAACTTTTTTTAGATCCTAAGATTTGTAAGTACTCGGATTATTTTAAGAAGTGATTTTATTTATTCATACTGGTTTATCTTTCGTTTGTTAATTTCTTGTGCTTATATCAAATGGGTGAATATAGGGTCAGTATTTATGCATGTTTGTGATTGACTTGAGACCAAGAGGAGATAATTGATTGCTAGAATTGAGAAATTCATTATGTAAGAGACTAAACAAACCAAGAGGTTGATAGAATCTTGCGAGGAAACTAGAATCTTACGAACTAGGGAAGTTAATTGTTCATCTTGAGACCGAGAGGAGATAGATATCAGTTAATCAACGATTTAGCTTGCTCGAGAGAGAGAGAGGTTAAATTAATTTAGTGATTATCTCTATGATTGGTAGAACTAAATAAGGTTTGATTGAATAAGAAATCTCAACTGATTACCTCAAGACTTTTAAAAAGTAAAAACAAATCTAAATTGAATACACCAGCATTTCTAAAGTCTTAAAAAGTATTTAGAAATCACAATTGAATACACCCCTTTCATGAACACGTTCGACTTTACTTTTTTGATAGATAAGTTCGGTTAGTTGTTCGAGTTTAGCTCGTTTAAATATACAAGAAAGTCAACCTGAAACTTTTACAAATCGAATCGAAAGGACAACCCGGTTCAACTAATAACTATATATTTTGCAGCCCCGGGTGAAAAATATTTCAAGCTACGCCCGTGATGTTGCCTCTTACTTGGTTTCCATTGCTGGTTGTCTTCCACACTTTCCAACAAACCATACATGCCAATGGGCCTTGTTGTATCAAATGCATAAAGTGAATAAGTCCAATGTGGATTAATCATGTCCAATCCATTATTGCAACAAATAGGAAAATATTATTTATTTAAAAAAAAAAGTGGACAAAAAAAAAATAATAATTGTGTGGAAAAAAATCAAACAAACATATTTGGGGAATACGTTTTTTTATATAAAACCGTATTTCGCGAATACGTTTTACTAAAAGAACGTAATTAAGATAATTAATCTTAATTAACATAAACAAAAACGTATTGAGGAAATAAATTTTTCTTTATAACGTACAAACAGAATGCGTTTTCCGTTAAAACGTATGTTGTGAATACGTTTTTGTGTTAAAATTTATTTCAGAATTTTGAAAAATATTTTTTTATTAATTTTAATTTTCTGAAAATATTAAACGTATTTATAAAATACGTTTTAAGTTAAAAAAAATTCGTTATAAAACGTATTACGCGAATACGTTTTTGGTTAAAAAAAATAATAATATAAACCTATTCAATTAACCAACCTGTCCAATATAATATACACCTGTTCAACCAACTCATATATCTCAATTCGGCAAAAAAATAATTTAACATATATTATATAAAAAAACAATCAACCACAATGCAATATTCAAGAAACACAATATAAAATGTAAAAGGTCAAAATACGGTTTTTAAATACAAAACAATTATGTCTGCAAAGTTCAAACTACAAAATACACAAACTAACTAGGAAGGAGTATATGTATCCGGAGGTCTACGCTGTCGGGACCCCTTCCTAGGAGGCCTTTGTCCTGAAGAAGACGAGGATGCGGTCGTGATAGGTGTGCCAGCATCTTCTTCTTGATCTGAGTAATTAATTTTTTAAACAAATTAGAAATTCGACTGAACAAAAAATAAAAAACAAAACAAAATAAAAAAATAAACACTTTTTCATGAAAAAAATTATCACCTTCTTC